AGTTCCCTCGAGATTCACCCGTGATACAGGCATTTCTTTTGTAAGTCCTTCTGTGCGCATGCTGCGTCAGCGAGCTCTAACCATTTCATAGATTTTCTCTATCCAAAGGGCCAAATAATTTCTGTCCCGGGTCAGCAGTACCTCCACTCCTGTTGAGGAATAAACGGAACTGAAGTTACTGCTGAACATGAGGGACTCAGCCGTCGCGTTCATAAAGTGTGAGAGCTGGAATATGAGCAGTTCCCCTACATTTTGGGACACTTGGTATCACGAACTGCCCCTTAAAGTGGGAAAAGTGTTTTCTTTCATCTGTCATTTGCTGTCCTTTTTGATACACATACGTCTCTTCCAGGCAAGCAAGCGAACGGAATATTTAGTGCTAACAGCAAAAGTAGCATTTCCCTAGAACCCTTCCCCCATAACTGCACCTTGTGCCGATGAATGTCTTCCGACTAAGCAGAAAATGAGACTCTTCAATGACTAGAAAATAATAAAATTTAGCTCTTGCTCTTCGTCAATGTAGCTGTCATAAGTTTTTGAGCCATGTGATAAACAAATAGAGGATGCTGTGAATGCTGTGGGAAGTAGGGTACAGAATGAAAGTGAAGATGCAATTTTCGCTATCGTTTAATAGATTGTGAATACTTGCCAAGAAGGTTTTTTCGTCGCAAGGAAGCACCTGAGGCAGCGAAATGTAGTGAGGCAGTCCTAAGAAGGTCACGAGTCCTAGAGCTCCACCATTTAGCTCTAATGAGGTAGTGCCCATGTGCTGGAATAGAAACTTCATTCAGACCTGTTTTACGTTTAGTTTGTAACTGTGATAATATTTTTCAGCTCCATTCTTCTTCCTGAAATTGGGGCATAGCTTTACCCAATCATAAATTTTCCCTTACATGCCAACTGGTTAGATTCTGTGAAGCAAAGCCAGACGATCTCACGCAGCGAAGGCAAGCTGACAGTTTCTCTACTCTAAAATTCTGAAACTGCTTAAAAGCGCGCAACCTATGAAGTTGATTCGAATATTTTGTCCGCTCATTGATGAAGGCAAAACTAGTTGCTCACTGGTTTACCTAGAGCTCTAACTGGTAAGCATTTTCGAAAAAACGAATATTGCCAGGTATTGATACAGCTGATTTATGGCAGTTGGCTTGTTTTCAAGTGCGCCAAGCTGGCGATTTACATCATTAGACAAAGCATGCCCTGCATAGATTGCTACAAAACGTTTTTTTCTCTTATATTAACTACGATATGGCGCCTGCTATTCTCTTGGGCTCCCTGCGCATTCCCCTACTCCGTCCTTCCAGTTTTATTACAGGCATCCCGCTTTGTACATATTAATTGGCTAACGGTGCTGTGGAAGAGTTTAGTTCTACATATTTTCTATCTACATCTAAACGGATCTAGTAACCCACTGGGTACAGAAATTGCTTTTAAAATAGTAATTCCAGTTTTACTACAGGCAGCCCGCTTGGTACATATTAATTGGCTAGTGGTGCTGTGAAGAAGTTCGGGCGAAAGGTGCACCGCCACGAAGCTATGTAAAGCAGTGCAGGGAAAGAAAGCATTCAGGAAAGTGATTGCTGAATTTGAGGGCAAGGAAAAACAAAAAACAAACAAAAGGAGCAGCCTAAAGACTCAACTGCCTGCAGATTCAGAAGTGCTCCAGCTGATTGACCAGACTGACAGATACAGCAAAAAGTCCGAAGTTTATGCAGAGCAAGATCGAAGCAACAGCGGCACGGGAAGGTGTGTGAGCTTCTGCACTGGTGCGTTAACGTCTTTATGTAGTACAGGCTAAACTTTATTTTTTTGTTAAAAAGGTGGAACAGGTTTACCAACGCTAAAAGCTTCAGAGTCACTCTTCACGCACAACTGCACTCATTGAGGAATATGAAGATGAGCAAACACGATTTCAACTGGAAAGACCACTTCTAACCACTTCTAAAATCCTAGCAAATTAAAAGCTGGAATTGTGCAATACAAGGTCCTATAGAGTTGCTAAACGAGCACACTGCATTATATTAGGACACTGTAGGAGTGTTCACACAAGAAATAACAGGATTGCTACCAGGTTTCATGCGAAACAAGCATCTTGGCACTACTTCAGACTCATAACGCAACAATAGCGCATTTGCTATAAGAGAACCTAATACCATGCAAATGAACAGCAACAACCGCCCGTCACTAGCCTTCTCCGAAAAAGGCTCCACACTGCGCAGTGGCGTTGAACGCAGGCTAGAGCTAAGCTAAGTCCCTTTGGAGGTGGAGTGCTCTGAAGGTACTTCAGGTACTTGATGATCTAAGAAGGATGCATAGTTAGTCTTTTTTGTTCCACATTCAATCACATTGAGAGCATGCATGTCAGTCATGACCGCGTCGCTTGCTGTATGCATCTACAGACAGGCTGGACGTTCCCTGAAGCTCAGCCTGAGTTATCTTTGCTCAAGCTGCCAGTATGAACTTCGCCAGCACATCTTTATTTCGAAATTTGGAGAATTTTTTTGGTAATTCTCCGGGGTAATTTTTTTCCCTTCAGAGCGGCCTGCTGTTATCTATGTTTTCCTTCAGAGCTGCCTGCTGTTATCTACGAAACCAGAACAAACTCACGTATTATATCGTGGCCAGCAGAGTATTGTAAATTCCTCTTTAGCTCATGAAGTGCAAGGCTTTTTCTGATACAGTGTTGTTCCTTGTGTTAACTTCACCACCAAATACAGGATCAAGTGAAGCTGAGGCCATGATATTCGTTGAACATTGTTGCGTTGGCACTGAAACCTCCTTCAGAAAGCCTTCTGTTGCGTTTAGCTGAATATCAGTGCATCTTTCCGTAGAGAAAAGCAACATCTATCCTGAGTTTTCGCGACATCCTCTTAAGAACACTTAAGCTTGAGTGTCACGCATAGCAACCACTCATAGAGTCGCTCTCCCCAGCCGGCACAGAGGACCGGAATGCAAGCATGTTCAACTTTTTCATGCGTTGAGCATTCCACACATGCGACTAGAAGACTATTTCTTTTAAGCATATTCACATGACTACTAGCAGGTGCTCTGTACCAACTCCGGTGGATTCCAGCTGCTTGGAGACTGGAAATGTTCATTCCCTGGACGGGCCTTCGCGATCTAGTGTAAAGGACACTGTCCCCGTGCATCTTGAAGACGCAGGCGACTGGTTTTCTTGTTCATACTGGCACACCAGTGAAAGCAACGCTGGTTGTAGCACAGGCCAGAATAGCACTTGTAGCTGCACTGTGACACAGAGGCAAACAGAGCTTTTTCTGCCAGCAGAAAAACAGACTATAGCTCGGCACTTACCCTCGAGGGAAACGCATAGACCGACGAAAAAAGACCACAGATTTTCTGACTCCTGTCACGACTCCATCAGCAGTTCGATACGAAGTAGCGCGGGAAATTTTCAAAAGCGGCATCATGAGGGAAACGGACCTCAGCTGGCTTCAGCACCTGCGCCTTCCTGTAGTGTTAGTTGTGTCACAGCTAAAGCCAATCAGTCGATTTCGCAGACTGAAGAGCTTTCGATGGAGCGGCACGACGCTAAAGCGTCGCTACTTTGCGGGCCTCTGGCTGTGCAAAAGACCCTGACGGAACGCCAAAGGGACATCGAACGGCGAATGATTGAAGTACGTCAGCAAAATAAGCGCCGCTTACTTCGGAGGCAACAAGAGGTTAGGGAACAGCAGCTACAGCGCCTGAGAGAGCATCGCGCCGCTCTGCTAGCTAGAAAAGAGCGAATACGGCTTGCTTCGCTGTGGAAGGAAAGAGGCATGGCGGCAGCAGCTAGGCCCCCTACAATTGCTAGGAGAGGACGCGCCGTAGACAGACTTGCATCACAAGGCTCTGACTCAACTGGAACAGACAGCCGAAGTGCGAATATGCTACTTGCAGCCCTAGTGATGTCGGAATCAATATCGCTTCAAAGGCAGACCGGAACTAGTGAAGCTGGAAACAGTGCAGGTTAGTTTATATATATGTTGCACGTAGAGGCTGCTGGTACATGCCTTCATACGGTGAGGAATTTCATATGTTCGCATGTGCTTTCTTTTCTCCTCGTAGAGAGGTTCTTAGCTGAGCCTGCTGCAGTGTTAACTTTTCCAGACTCGATATTTGGTGTGAGCTCAGAAGACCCTTCAAAAATAACAACTGGCACAGTGGCTTCTTCACATCTTCGCTCTCGCCTGACCGGCAACTGCGTTGCTCAACCTCCTGTTGAAACGCCTGGGAATAGGCTTACACAGAAGAACTCATGCAAACAATTTGACCTAAAACGCGCAACTTGTGAGTCATTACGTTGTCACTCATGGGATAAGCGGGCCTTACTACAAGAAGTGCCGCGTCAAAGTAGATATATCCGTAGAGTAAAGCCTTCTTCCGACAATTTCACGTATTCCTCCGACGCCCGACTTAGTGCGCCTTCGTTGCCCTTACCTTGCCGCCAAGAGACCGAGAGAAAAAAGGCCGCTTCGAAGCAAACGCTCCGTTTAGCCATGCGACATGAACCTCAAGGACAAACTGCTTTGAAGAAGAACAACGATAAGCAGTCGAAGCAAGAAAATTTCAGCGCATCAACGATCGTTGCTGTTTGCCACCAATATAAGGACCAAGTACAAATGCAGTTAGAGCAGCGGCAAACGCCTTCTCAAAAGGAGCAGAGGGACTATGCTCAATTAATAACAGCTTCGGAAAGCACAACATCTTCACCATGCTGTCAGACGCAGAGACTAGAAAACACTTTCACGCAAAGAGCCGCAGAGACAAGCTTCCGCTTCACGCCGAAATCTACGGCAGCTGAAACAACTAGAACTGTCACGTCATCCCTACAACTCGCTGAACAAAGTGAGGGGAACTGTAGCCAACAGAAAGGTAGTTCTCAGCTTATACTGCCTTGCCAAGATCTTACCGGGGACATTAAACGCGTCGCGGATGAGGAAACCAATGAGAGAAATGACGGCTCATTCTTGACGCCTGCTTGGGCTGTAGCATTAAAAATGTCTAACAGCTTATCTTTCCAAAAAGAAGCTGAGACAGCAGACGCTGCCGGGCTACAGCTCGTGCGTGTTACTCGTGGCCTATGGACAAACAATGAAAAAGAGACTCACGAATTTGTTGAGCCCGGAGACACTGTTCCCCATGTCAAGTCTTCCACATTTTCTAGAGTGCATTCTTCTTCCAACGCAGATAAAGGAGTCCCCAAAAATGCAGCAGATAAACCAGGATGTTTCAAAAGCAAAGGCGAGAGCGGTGGGGTAGGAGCTTTATCTGCTAGCGATGCTTTCGTGTGGAACTCTTTCATTACGAAAATCAGACAAGAGGATCCGAGCTCAAGTGTCAGGCATGCAAACTGCCGTGGAAACTCTAAAAGCGTGCACTTCAAAGTGGTTGAAGATAAAAATCAGGCATTTTCAGCTGTGCGAGCCATACAACAAGCCGAAAAGGAAGAGGCAATACGACTTTTTCTACTGGAGGCTTCGCAAAATGCGGTTGCGAGACAGGCCCAGACGCGTAACAACGAGCGGCAGCGTCAGCATCAGTTTATGGAGTATCGACATCAGGACCATGATTTGAGCAACACTAATGGAGCGAAACATCAAACGCATCAGTCTCAACGGCGTCAACAGAGCGCTGCTACCTTTTCTGGGGGTCCGCATCAGGCGAGGGACCTGACGTTTGCTCAAACTGCGCGTGAAGTCCTGCCACAACCAACAGACGTGGCCTTACCAAAAATGAGCAAAGCATGGTCTGATGTTACTCCTTCAGTCCACAACACCGAGAACATTAATACTGCGGTAATAACACAGCGACATGATTCTGAAAGAAAAGGTATTCGCAGGGATAACAACGTAGGCATGGCAGAAGCTTGCTCAGGAGTAATTGCGCGGACGCTTCAGTCGAGTCGACAAAAATGGAAAGGCACAGACAAACAGCAGCAGCAAGTTGTACTAAACAACAGCATTTTGGAGCGGCAACAAGGTCTGTTACGACAGCTTCAGGAGCATTATATGAAGGAACAACAAGGCACTCTAAGGAGCTGGAGAAAACAGGATTGTGTAGAACTCGATGTGCAGTCTCGCTCCCCTCTAAAGATGCCTCCTTGCACTGGTGGCACCTACCTCCCGCTGCAAACCGTACGACACCACTCTACTCTCAAGGCTTTTCAACAGCTTTTCCGCTTTCCTTCAAAGACGACGTCAGATAGAAGGAACCTGAAGCAAAAACACAGTTTTGGCGCCGATATGGGAGAGGTTTTGCTGCCTGCCGAGTTTCAAAACAATATCCCTACACTGAGGCAAGAGCTGTCGAGGAGATAGGTGATCCTACAAGTGGCATCTGGAGCAGCAAGCAGGGACGCAACGCTTACTGGCCCTGTTTATGCCACCCCCTTTTTTACGTCGTTAATATGTTGAACAGGAGTGTTGCTTCTGTGCAATTGATTGTGCCATGAATACGCTCAAAGGAGCAAACTGGCTACCCCCAAGACGAAGGGAAAAAGCTAGTTCATGCTTTCACGCCAGCTGGCGAGTTCGGCAGTGCTTATGGCGTAGTCTGTGTTTCTTTCTCCTGCACTTTTTCTTCACGAGAAGAAGGCCAACAATATTGAGCACCAGTGTACTATTCTTCGTAACTAACCAGCAAAGCTGTGGTACTGTGAGCGACTGGACTAAACACATAAGCTGCAGACAAAAACATAATGATGTCTTGGCGGCCCAAATTGCCGAGAAAATTCCCTCTACATTCGTTTTTCGAAAGAAAACTAAACGTTGATCTCTTGGTGTGCATGTTAGGGTAGTGTCGATAAACTTTTGGTAACAAAAGTTCTCAGTCATGTGCCGTACGTGAAATTGTAGCAACGAAGGCTTTTCAGTCTCCGTGGCAGCGGCCTCTAGCGAATGGAACCCCTTTCTTCAGCAGTACAAGGCCTTTGGGCAACTACCTGGTGTAAAATGCAGAGAAAGCTCATTGCACATACTTCCTGTCTTTGAATCAAATTTTAGCCGCTGTAGAAGCCAACAAGAATAATGGCCTGATAACTAGCCCACTTAGTATCTAATGCGGCTTCAAGCTCCACAGGTAACAGACACTCACCCCACACAATCAGTGTAATTCTGAAAGGCACACGCGCTCACCATTTCAGTGCCCACTTGATGTAAAGGGGAATGGAATACTAGAAAGAAATGCCTTGTGGGCAGTTAAAAGGAAGTTAGCTAAACCACTAGAATTACCTAGTACTCCTGGAAGCCACCCCGTTGAGTGAGACTTTTACTTGCCACTCTTTACATTTTTCTATTTTTAGGCCTCTACGCTCGCTCTTTCAACTCGGCCGTTTGAGATTTCCTCCAGCTCCAGTCTCAAGTGCTTATCTACTTGAGGCAATGCTTCTCAGCATATGCCCTTAATGCTTACCTTTTACTTCAGTTCTTTTAATTTCTTTTGTATATGTTTCCACCGGAAGGCATTCTTTTTGATTTTGCACTTAAGATTTTGTAGATAATATGCCTATTACTTTATACAAATCAGGCCTGCACCTGCAATCGCTACATTTAAATCTTGTCCTCTCAGTCATTGGTTCGAGGCACGAAACATTTCAAACATTTAAGAAGCAACAGGGTTTCGTAAATTCTTACATGCAAGCTGTATAGACGTAACGATAGCATGAAGTCTAATGACGCAAATGTTTTGTACCACTCAAAAGCTTTCCGGCATTCTATGCATTTTATCGCGCACTAACCCTGTTAATTGGTAAGTACTTTTTCCTATTAGCAAGTATGCGCAGTTCATGATGTGATGCACATTGCATTTGTTTGTGGTCAATCAAAATTTTTGTTGCCGTAAAACAGTTGTCCGCTTCACTTTCTCTATAGCCGATTCGCTCCTTATTCAATGTAAACTGTAGAGTCTCGTGAACCTCTGCATCGCTTCATTTGAAGGTTAAAGTTCCTCCGCGAAAGGTCAGTACTCCCTGCCTCTTGCTTTTTTCTCGCACTTTTTGTTAAGCACAGCGAGCTCTTTACATTGTCTAGTTTTCTACGTTTAAATGAATGCACTGCAGCATATTTCATCCTCAATATCAGCGTTCAAAAGCCATCTGCGGAAAGGCAGTGAATGCTCTGGAAGCCTCCGGACCCTTCTTTCTTATGTAGCACATACCATAAGGAAGCACCCGTGGTAAACGTTTGCAACTGCCCCCAAAAAATTCTGCAGATGTCCTTTAGCTGCGCTAACAACTTTGACGAAGCCACTGATTCTAGACTGTTTTCCTGTATGTACTGCTAAAGCGACAATTTGATTTATCCATACTTGATACCCTGGCTTAGCCTCATGTGGGGAAGTGTCGCAGTAAGCACAACTAACCTCAAACTTGCTTTGTACCCACATTGAATGTCATTGCAAAAAATCTCCTGCAAAAGCTTCTTAATTATACAGTGGGAGCTGCTAGCGTAAAGTCGGATGTCGCTGACGTATTGGGCACGAACGTGATGACGTTGAAGGCGAGGAAGGAACAAACACTGTCAAACGACTCAACGTTAAGACGCAAATGGGTGAAAAGTATTCACAGAAAATGTTGCTACACTGTGTTAAGAGCTTCGGAAGTTCAGCAGAGCACACACTTCACATAAGCACCGTGCGGCAAAACGTTCTAAACGCTGAACCGAAGGAAAGGATGTGATCACAGAAGGACCTGATAGCTTGGCAGTCTGCATAAGCATCGACACAGCCACCACACAAAAAACACAGGTGCCACACACAGCATGAAACGCTTTGGTTTCCGTAGCTGCACTGCTTGTGGGCGCGAAAGGATATGTTTTTTAGAGGTGCATATGGGGCCTGTATTCCTGTATCGCAAGACTGTGTTGCCGTTGCGCTTCAAGTGGTGGCACGAGAGCGTTGAACTTCCGCTTGAGCAGTGCCAGGTGGTTGAATGCAGTTGCCCGTTAATGTTTTCGCCAAAGTTTCGTTGTGGGGGAGCGCCTAGGTGATATTTACTGTCGTTCATTTAGTGTCAATACTTACTGCCGTCCCAAAAGGGGAGCCTAAAGTGCCGCACTGACTCGGCCACACCCTCAGCTATCCAGAGAAATGATAGGGGACGGTGCACGACCTTTTCTGTTCAGCTAGTAGTTGCTTGTGCTAGTGTTTCTGGCCATGAACTGCAGACGTGGTTCCATTCAACCGGCTCACCAGGATGCGCTCTTGACATTTTCACTCTCGCTATATAGCACCAACGTGGATACGTTGGTGCTATATAGCGAGAGTGAAAATCTCAAGAGCTAGTGGAGTGAAATTTAGAAGAACTGGACAGAAGCGTAAACAAACAAGAACGTGCAGCAGATCACCTCTTCCATAGTTTCTTGATGAATCTAAAGTGTTAGTAGACCGACAAACTTCTGGCGAAGCTCTCTCTTTCCTGTGGGATACCATTTCGTTTTACGCGTCGCAGCCGTTGTTATCTCTTAATTGAAGGATTGGTTGTACGTTATCTCCAGCATGTGGCCTCAAATTTCATGGTTGAAAAGCTTGAAGACGGTCTATGCTGGCAGACAGGGCGCAAGACAATACTACGTTAACCGCTGAATGCCTTGAAGCATGTTTGTGATATCTCCATAACCTCATTGCAAACTACTCTCAAAAACGTTAGCGGTTAAGGTTGCTTCTCTAATATACTTGTAAAGCTCAACCCCCACTAGATCGTCTGGAAGAAGTTCGATGAAAGCCGGCAATGAGTCACTCACGAGACTGTCCAGTTCTGAGGTAGTTAACCAGGAATCGAAGTGCTCGTCAACGTCACAAATATCCGAAGAATTTCTCGATTCAGCATAAGCACTTGCTTTATTAAACAACCCCTCGAAGGAACTCTTCTGTCGTTTTTACGTTTCGTTCAGAGGCCTACAAATCCTCATTTGAGGAGAATTCTGGCATTGTGCGTAACCCGGAGTGTTTGAAAATGGGAATTAAGTGTACACTTTTGCTGATACACAAAATGACTCTTTCATGATTGTGAGACAGCGCCTCGTCAAAGCAACCAGTCGTCTCTTGTATCTCGCATGAAATGGTGCACCTGTCGACGATAGTTTGGTACTGTCTCATGCTCACAAGGCAGTACTTCGTCAGCGCAGCCCCATCTTTTCATCGAATTCGCCTGAAATGGTGCAGCCTTGGGCTGCGAAGAGTCATAAAGCCCACTGGACACACGATATTAAGCGTGAAACACTCAGCTGTAAGCAATTCTAAAAGTTACTCGTGCTATGAGGGTCTACAAATTGTGGTCGCCGTTAGATAATAGGAATGATAATTGAGCATACGAAAGCGCACGTTAGTTTCGACAACAGAATTATTCAATCTACAACCATCCGCTGCAAATGTGGAGGCGATACTCACTTACAGTGGATGAGTGAAATTTTGCGCTTTTCGTGCCAGCAGGACTTGATTGCTCTACTTGCCTACGAAGGCCCATGAATCTGGTAAGATGTGGCGACAAATTGTGTAGAAAACACTAGCTGACGAGCTTTCAAAACGCTTTCAATATCCTGATCCTGGCCAATTTGCGGAAAGCTATCATGTCTAACTCAGCTTCGAAGGATTAGTTGCATTTGTAGTATCCTGGAATGAGCAGCCTTTGGTGCACTACAGCACGATAGGACTTCGGAAAGATTAGAGGGCATCACGTGGCATACTCAAGAGTTTGTCCAGGGGCCCAGTCCATTTTTTGACTTTTTTACTTGCCCTTGGGACCGAGGACGCAACTGTCCGACGAACCAATTCGATCCTTGAAAAAAGGGCACCCCTCAAAAAGTCCGCCTACGACTTCACGGACATGTTTCCCACACGGAAGCTGTAGTTTACGTTTCATGTGCCCGAACGTACTTCTTTTACCTCTCAGTACATCCCTTCGTAGGGCGCTTCAATCAAAGCAGCAGCATAGGCATGGACCGGGACCTGGGAATTTGTTATCCCAGCTTGTGGATTTAACGTCATGCTTTGCAAGGCTTTCGCAAAGTAGTCCCAAGAAAATGAGGCAAATTCATGGGAGCGAAGCTCCCTCTATTCCTACAAATTTACTTCCAAGGAGCCACCCGGTGGAGGTTTTTAATTTTTCAAGTGTTTCAAATGGCCTAGCTGTAGAGCAGAATATCGAAGACAAGTTGGGAGACTTTAGTCTCATATTTTGTTCACTCTTCGTAGTCAAATAAATTTGCAGAAGACCGACGAACAACGGCAAATATTTGCATGCGCAAGTTGGCCACAAGAACGACGCTGCCTGTATTCTATGGAGCAAAGTGGAGCGTTCTGCAATTTGCGAAGGACGCTCTAA